TTTTAATTAATAATTAATAAAATTTATCCTATATTATCTATTATATTTTTAAAAAATAAATCAAACACTAAAATAATTTTTGTCTACAAATACAATATAACATAGTGCAACATAACGACACCCATAACTATAACTTCTCGTAACAATTTCAAACACATCCTATTTTGCTTTTAATAATTTATTTTTTGTAATTTAATATAGTTTTTACCGCTTTCCTTTCTATAAAATTTGTAAGTCATAACAATAAGAAAATCTAAGTTCTAATTTAATTAACTAAGGATATATTAAGTTTAACAGTAACTAGTAGTGAGGAAAAAAGGAAAAATATTTTATTCGATGAAGTCAAGCTTGTTCGGGTAAAATTTTAGTGAAAAATGATTTACTACAATCTTTTGATACTATATCACTACTAAAATTCAAGCCTTCAGCAACAATATATTAGCAATATCGGATCCTTTGTTGCTGAAAATTTGTATTAGCAACAAGACTCATGTTGCTGAAAGTTGCATAGTACATTTTTTCCCTAAAAAGTTGTTCTACTTTTAGCAACAAGGAGTATGTTGCTGAAAGTGAATTTTAACAACATACCTCATGTTGTTGATATTTTCCGACAATCATTTCCTCATCTAATTAAGCTCCACTTTCAGCAAGATATTCCTTGTTGCTGGAAGTGACTTTTAGCAACAAGAGCTATCTTGCTGAAACTTTTCCAACCACACCTAAAGTATTAGCAGCATATACTATGTTGCTGTTATTTTTATCTTTTCACCAACCAAACATCAGCAACATATCCCTTGTTACTGATATTACCACTTTGACTAATAGTTGATCAAGGCCATTATAGATATATACCTTTAAATAAAGAGTCGAATCTAACTACAAAAATTCGACTCTCGAGTATTCAAGAGTCGACTATATATAATGAACATTCGACTCCCAAATTCCAGAGAGTTAAGAACATTTTGAGTGCTGTGTATAGTCGACTTTCTTTAATGAAAGTCAACTCTTTTTGGAAATGAGTCTACTCTTATTTGAAAAAAAGTTGACTCTTAATTTAAAAACTATTGACAAAAACTTGTTATAACTTTATATAAAATATCTATGTAATCTCATATGCATATTCACATATTTTTTTTTAGATAAAATCAAGTTTTAAATTAGTTAAATATATTAATAAATAATATAATTATATTAATTACTTTGTTAAGCATTAAATAAAATTTAATAAATTAAACAAAATCAACTATTAAATTAAATGTTAAGTATAAAATAAATTATTTAAAGATTAACAATTTATTAAAATAGGTTAAATAAATTTTTTACCTTTGCTTTGCCTAATCAAAGATAAAAAGGCGAACCCACGAGCTGGTTTCTTTTCTTTTCCATGGATTTTGATTCGGTGATTGGTTGATTTTGTTTCAATTTTTTTCTTCTGAGTTCTTGCTTTTATTTCTTGCAATTTTGCTTGATTACATTTCGTGCTAAACTCAAACCTCTCTCTCCTTGCCTCCTGAAGGATGATGATAAAACTTGATTGTTTCCATAAAGATGCTGAAGAAGCAAGAAGCACATTTTGATTATGATGATTATGAAGCTT